GAATTACAATTGTAAGTAAGCAGCCGGGTTGATAATCAAATCAACTTACTGGATTACTCAATCAAGATTTGATTATGTATGTTCAAGTGACATCTGAACAAACCACAACGCTTCTGAGACCTAAAGCGGCTGCAAAGTGCCACATTTGAAAAAAGCCAATCACAGCATATCAGCACCAACACCTCATATCAACTGTCAGGGGCGGTGGTGGAGGGCTGATGATTTGTGCTTGGTTTACACCAACAGGGCCTGGGCTACTTGCAGTCTTTTCAAGTGCGAGGCCATCTGTCCAACACATCCCAAAATTGGGTCGTGCAACAGGTCAATGATCCCAAACACAGCAGCAAATTTACAACAGAATGGCTGAAAAGAAAAATAATCAATATTTTGCAGTGACCCAGTTAAAGTCCAGACCTCAACCACAATGAGATGCTGTGGTGGGATCTTAAGACAACTGTGCATGAACAAATGCCTACAAACCTCAGTGAACTGACGCAATGGTGCAGAACTGAGTGGCCAAGCATTCCTCCACAATGATCTGAGAGGCTGATAGCATCCTCCAGACAACAATTAGGCCAAGCTTGTAGAAACCACCTTTCTGCTAAAGGTTTCTACAAGCTACTGAATCATGGGATGTACTTGGTTTTTCACAGAAGTTCAAGGCTTCCTGTGAAAACATTTTCACAGCTCTGTTTTATTAAGCTGTGAGGACCACCACAGCTTAATAAAGAACAGTGCAAACATATATAAACCTTACAAATGCAAAACCTTACAGTTGCTTACAAATGCAACTGTCAAAACTCTTCACTGCTTAAAAAAAATTGGTGTATATATATATATATATTTTATTTTGTTTAGATGAACATTAGTCTTTAAATGTTCCTTTTTGTTGATAATGTTATAATATTCTGCCCATAAGTTTACAGGCTTAAATAAATGATTGTTAGTTTATTGTGAAGAGAAATCAGTGCTGGTGTATAGATACGTGGATTTACATTTATCAACTAGCATCTGTGTCCAATATCTCATACCTTTTAGTGGACTGAAGCGTGTATGTTCTTAACAGCATCAAAACACCATCATCACCTTTCTCACATCCGCCATGCATTTAGAATTTAAAGGAAACTGCACTCACTCCAACAATAACCAAAACTTCCCATTTGGGGAAATCTAAATTTCGGTCCACTTTAACTGATGATCAGAATTGAAACGGAAAGAAAAAAAATTCTTGCATTAGTTACAACACTTCCACTTATTTTTTGTTACAACTCGTTTCTGCTTAACCTTGGGACACGTGCAAATGTCCTTACAGTTACTGCGTCTGGTCTCAGTCCATAAAAAACAAACTATGATGTTCTCAACATCAAAGTAAGAGAATGTCTGTAAATAGTCCTCGAAATAAAATTGTAGAAGCTGGCCAGCAGACTTAAAAAAAGATGTATGTACATAGAGCTCTATATGAAAAGTATCTATGAGTTGTTTGATTGAAATACTTAATCATATCAATACTCGCTCTTCTCAGTGGTCCGTGTTGAAGACCGGAAAAGAAAGTCTGCTCAGTAGCAGGAGGATAAATGATAGTGATTTGAAGGCTATCACGAGTGAAATGGTCACAGCAAGCTCACACAAGCTACAGGCTACGTGAGCTCATAGCCCCTCTCGCCAGAGGAGGCTACCACCCTGTCATGAAACAGCTGTAGATCAACAACATCATAATACTTTCTATAAATATAGCGCATAGTGCACAGAACTGAATGTAACTGTACAGTAGACATCAGACAAGTAAACTAACAGCGGGTTACACACGCACACACCTGTCTTGTGTGTTGTCTAGGATCCTGAAGCAATACGATCACCCTAACATTGTGAAGCTTATTGGGGTGTGCACGCAGAAACAGCCCATCTACATTATCATGGAGCTCATTCAAGGTAAATGTGATCCTGTTAGACAGTCTTTATGTCTTTCAACTTGTCAACTCGGTGCCTTCAAAGATTTATTGAACCATTTTCACCACCCACTTTGTTCCTCCATCATCGTTCTCGCTCTCCGTATGTGTGTGTGTCTTTACACTTTTCAAGGTGGTGATTTTCTCTCCTTTTTGCGCACTGAGGGTCACAGTCTGATACCGAAGATGCTGGTCAAAATGACTGAAAATGTCGCATCTGGCATGGAGTACCTGGAGAGCAAAAAGTGCATTCACAGGTTGGTCAGACGATCACGCCGCTTTTATCTAATCTTTTCATCAGCCACGTGCAAATCTGTGACTTCAGCAATAAAGATTCCGCAATGCTCACTATTCATTTCCTTCACAGTTGCAGTCAGCTTAATCTTTCCTCATTGTTAACATGCCGGAATACATAATGTTTACCTCTGTGTTCGGTTTGATAATTACTACATATTAAACGTTCATTTGAAAACAGTGCAGTGTACTTTCAGCAACAACTAAAATGATGCGTCGCTCATGTACATGCAGGTGGATTTTCAGGCTTTTACTGTACACTTTACGAAGCATCACTTACCTTCCCAAGCTTTCACTTCACCTAACTGTTAACTGCACTTATCTGTAGCAGTTCCCCATATGTTGAGTAGCAGTAAAATGCTTGCCTTAAGTAAAGCTTCAGCTCAGCATCATATAAGGTGTCACACTGTAATCTCTAGAGAGATGTGCACAGAAAGATATTTAAGCAAATACAAGTTTCCAAATAAAAATAAAATCCCTTTACAATAAAAACAAATACTGTGGCTGAAAAGTACCAAAACAGAAAGGCTTAATAAAGACAGACCTACAGACATGATTCATGGCAGGAAAAATCTGCTTTACATTATTTCTTAAATGCCATAGTCCTTGATGGCCTAAGGCTCCTGCTTAGGACCTTAAAGGAGAGCCTCCTAAACCCCTTTATACTGGTAATAAGATTTATATATTTGGCAAGGCAAGTTTATTTGTATAGCACAATTCAACAACAAGGTGATTCAAAGTGCTTTACAGAGACATTAGAAACAA